GCTGTCTGCCTGGCTGTCTAAGAGTCTATCTCTATTTTGCTTGGTAGTTCAGTTCATTAAATGCCACATATGAGGGACTCATCTCTCTCTGACTGGTTTATTTCACTTAGCATAATGTTCTTCTCAGCCCGCCAGGAACATACCTTTCCTATGCAAACCAGCCAATCTACCCCTAGTTACCTCTTTATCTAATTCTCAAATACCAAACCAATATTTCCCTGACCCTAAATCATTCCAGGGTCAGGTACCAGGCAACAAGAAACCACCTCTATAGCCCAAAGCCCAGAGGAATTATTCAAAGTAGCCAATCCTACATTGTTTACCCTGCCCTGCCTTGCCCTGCCTTTCCTGAAAAAGCCCCAATGAAGGCTCTGGCCTAGGGTACTTACTCTCTTGCTCCTATCTTCTGCTTCCTGACTGTCACTGGTGCTCTCTCCTGTAGCCCTGCAGGACATGCAGTGACCCCTCTCAGAACTGCGGGCGTAATAAACTTCTTCCTTCCGTGCCTCGTTTCATTTCCTGTGGCCATAGTGACTTTACCATACTTCATCCAACATACACATTCTTAGAACTACCCTTACTTTTATGTCTGAATACAATTTATGCTTATCACCACTTCAGTATTACAGTCATTTCTAGGCCTGCCATGAAATGACATGTGACACACTGTTGGGTACTATCAGGCAACTGAGGGCTCAGTAATCATGGAGCCACCAAATAGTGAAGTCTCATTTTCTTTCACTAGTGATCCAGATGTTGGCAGCAAGAATGTAAACAGGTGTTAGACTGGTAGACTCAGACCAAACCTTGGTTCAGCAACAGAGCCAAGACTCAAACTATCAGAGAAAGCTTATTTAGAAAGTCACAGAGGTAGAAGTGAGCTGTAGAAGGAATGGGCTCAGGAAATCGTGCCTGAGGGAAGGGAGTGGGGAAAGGCGTGGGTGTGCTCCATAGAGAGAGTCCCACTGGGTCCTGGTCTTGAAGGTATTTATCTGGAGGTGTCAGGGGAGGATCCCAACTGAATATTCATCAGCTTTCCAGGTGTGTCCTTTCCATGACTGTGTCCGATCATGGCTTCCACTGATAGGCCAGTACCAGGGCAGGGGTAACTAGTCGATGCAGCTAGTCCTGAGGTCAACCATGGGGTCCCTTGTCTGGTTTGGCTGCTTTTCTGGGTCTGGAGCTGAAACACAACTGAAGACTAGATGTATTTGATGTGGGCCAGAACCTCATTGTCCTGGGGGCTTAATACATAAGGGCTATTCTCCGGCTCTCTTGTTAGTTCCCCCTCAAAGGGGCTCTGACCCACATGAAGAGTAACATGCCAGGGGCAGAAAGGTCAGGGGAGGGTCCGAACCACATGACCAGGGATATGCTAGGGGAGGGAAAGTTACCCTGGGGGCAAGGTCCTTGTTTTCCCAATTTTGTCCTTTGCTAAGGACCCCTGGCTTTCCACCCTGGTGACCTTCTGTACCTGGCCCATTGTCCTTGCTCAGGCATCTACATTGCTTTCCAATATTCTCTCTCTACAATTGTTTGCCAGTCGATACTTAGAAGAGGAGTAATTTTGTTTGTTAAAGCTTTGTCCAAAAGGGAATTCTTAAATCTCCATGAGGAAAGTGTCCTCTTATGACACCTACTGGCACCCAGGCCACAGTGTAAAGCAGCCAAGTTCAAACATACTGGGTAGTTGAGATAACTGCTGACAAGTGGTATTTAAAGTAGCATATTGCAAAAGGACTGCACCGTGTGAATGGTCATGTTCAGTGCTATAAATTCTGTAACAATGGGGTTGGCTTTTTTTTTGGTCTTATTTGCTTTCCTTCCGTTCTCATTTTTGTGTAATGTCAACACTCTGAGTGTTATGAAGTAAAGGCAAGCACATGCAGTGTGTTGTAGATGAGGTGCTTGTATTATTTATTAAACTTTACTTTGAGAACATGTAGACTAACATGTAGGTGTAAGAAATAATACAGAGATCCCGTGTCCCCATTACTCTGCCTCCCGTAGTGTTAACACCTTGCTCAGCTATAGTACAGTATCATATCCAAGCCATCGACATTAATAAAGTCAAGAGAGAGAATATCTCCATCACCACAAAGATACCACATATGTCCCTTTTATAGCCACACCCATTTCCCTCCCATGCTGGCCTCCTCCTTAATTAACCCTTGGCAACTACTCATCTGTTCTCTATTTCTAGAATACTGAATTTTAATAACGTTATAGAAATAGAATCATACAGTTTGGGAACCTTTGGACTTGGCTTTTTTCCAAGTGCCATAAATCACTTGGCATCCATCCGGATTGGTGCATGTGTCAACAGTTCATTCCTTTATATTATGAGTAGTATTCCATGGTATGAACGTATCACAGTTTGTTTAAACATTGTTGAAGGATGTTTGTGTTCTTTCCAGTTTCAGACCATTACAAATAAAGTTGCTATGAACATTCATGTACAGGTTTTTGTGTGAACATAGGTTTTTATTTCTCTAGGGTAAGTTCCCAGAATATAAACCAGCATTTCCATGAGCAATTTTACATTCTCTATTTCCACCAGCAATTTATGAATGGCCCAGTTTCTCTGTATCCTTGCAAGCATTTTGGTGCTGTCCATCCTGATTTCTTATTTAGCCATTCTGATAGGTGTGTAGTGATAGCTCATTGTGGTTTTAATTTGCATGTCCCTGATTGCAAATGACGCTGAACATTTTCTCATGTGTTCATTTGCCATCTGTATATCCTCTTAGGTAGATTATCTGTGCATGACATTTGCCCATTTTTAAATTGGATTATTATGTTTTTCTTTAATCTTGAGTGTTGAGAGTTCTCTCTATATATTCTAGATACTAGTCCTCTGTTAGATATGTGGCTTGCAAATATTTTCTTTCAGTCTATAGACTGATTTTCATTCTCTTAACTGGGGACTTTCATGCTATATATTCCTATTTAACAAACAAAATATGTTAATATTTACTGTTGAGCTGGCTTCCCATTCCTCTCATGTACTCCCCTACCACACAGAAGACAGATGTGCCAAGGTATCTAAACATTATTTTTAATTCACTTATGTAAAATGTAACCTAGATATAACAGAATGATGAAATATAACATTAAAAATTATTTTTTGAAAAAGTTGCTTAGAAGAAAATAAAATAGAATTAAAGCGAAACATAAAAGAACAATGAGTTAAAAAAAATATGCACACTCTCACTACCTCAATCAACCCAACCAGGAGCATGTATTGTGGAAGGAACATAAATACTAATATAAAGGAAATAGTGGGGCTAAAGCTATTCATGGGGTGAGGAAACTAGACATGTTTATGCCTTTAGAATATAAATCTATTTTTTAAATAGCTATTTTTTAAAGAAGAAGACGGACTTCCAGTTTTGACAGCAACATCGTGGCAACGGCAACTTCCTTCTGAATTTTTCCACTTCTTTCCTAGAAGCCACACAAAGCCAGGAGGAGAATGAAACATTTACATACACAAGCAACAGACTCGGCTAAACAATAAGAAAATCTACAAACCGCAAATGTGTGGCCCATGGCACCTGAAAGCAGTGGAAGTGGCAGTGGAAGCTGAACTGCAGCGGGGGAAACAAGGAATGCACGGGGATTCAACAGAGGAGAGCTCAAAAACTCGCACTCTGTGACAGCAGAAGGCAAGACACAGTGGGAGCCACTCTGCGATGGCCTAAAATTAGCAGGCCGTGGATACTGAGGCAGGTGGCAAATGATCACACACAAGCTATTCAGAGGGTTCCAGAAACAGCATCTTCTAAAAGTGAAGAGGCACCTGGGAAGACAAGAGTCACATCCCTTGGCGGCAGCAGCTATGGGACAAAGGCCGTGAGAGTGCAAGCCGGGGAGGTTAGATGCTGGAAGGCAGGAGCCGCAGATGGTGCATGCACAGAGGGGCTGTATTTTCACTGCAGCAAGACAGGGCAGAAAACTGAGGCTGAGAACCCTGAAAAGCAACCACTTCCGACCAAAACCTCTTGCTGACAGCTGGTCAAAGACAACCCAGCTCTTTAACATATGGTTAAACAAAAGGGAAACATTCAGCACAACAAGGGAAATTCTTAAGAAAAAGAAAAAGGAGAGAATTTCCAGATAAAGAAACCCCACTGAAAATATTTTGCTAAAGAGTACATGAGAACTGAAATGCAAAATTACTGTCGTGATTTTTTAAAATTAATGTAATAATTGCAGCTGCAAGAAAAAAAACAAAGCAGAAATATAAGAAACCGTGGAAGGAAAAGCCACACAAGAGGAAAATTAGGAAATAAAGGAACTCAGGAAAGGAAGGTGCAATAAAGACATTTCTGAATAAAAGAAAACAACTACATGAAGCACAAGGGAGGCTATACACCCCCCCACACACAAAAAAACGTCTAAGGAAAAGAGAGTATAGAAATGAGAAAAATGCAAAATAGAAATAAATGTGAAAAGAATTAAAAGGGAAATGACAGCTATGGAGACAGGCCACGGAAATTAAACCTATGCATAACTGGACCTCTTTCCCAAACTCCAAATTCATTTATCCAACTGCTTAACTCAGCATCTCCATTTGGATGTCAAAATCCCCAACTTCTACATATCTAAAGCTGAACTTTCCTTCCGATGAGATCCTTCAATCTTGCCCACTTCATTTGATGGCAATCTACTTTCTAGTTTCTCAAGCCCAACTTCTTGGAGTCACCTTTACCCTTTTTCATTCCTTTACACACCACATTCAATACACCAGTAAATCGTGTTGCTTTCACCTTCAAAATACGTCCAGCCATTCCTCAAACTGCCACTGCTATCACCATGGTCCAAGTCATTAACCTTAAATTACTGCAATAATCTTCAAATTATTTTCCTTCTTTTACTCTAATGTCCCTGTTTTCAAAGCAGCAGCCAAAGTGACCCTCTAAAATTTAAATCAGATGTTACTTCTCTCTGCTTAAAACACTCAAAAGGTTTCCTATTTTGCTCTAAATTACAAATGCACTTATTTATACTTTGAATCTGATCATTTACAGATATACTTGTACATGCAGAAATGACATTTGTTGCTACATTATTTATAATAGCAAACTACGAGAAAAAAACCATGTCCTTCATTTAGTGACTGTTTAAGTGAGCTATGTTTCAGGGAATACTGTGCAGTTTTTAAAACAAATTCAGATGCTTTTATTTTTGCATAGGATGTGGTAGAACCAGGTGAGCCAAGGATCTCACTGCCAAATAGAAAAAGGTGAATGAATTACAAAGATATTTTTAAAAGCATCAAAGAAGTGGGGAAACAATAAAAACTAAATTGGCTGAAACTCACAGAGGAGAGAACTGTGCAGAAGTGAAAAAACAGTATGTCACCATTTATTTCCTTGGATATTGGCAGAAGGTCAGGACTGAAATAGGCACCTTTGGAAAATCTATAGTTAACATCATACTTAATGGTAAAATATTGAACACATTTCCCCACGGATTAGAAAGAAGACAAGACTGTCTACTATCACCACTTTTATTCCACAATATATTAGAGCACCTACTGATTGTAAAAACGCAAGAAAAATAAATAAAAGATATAAACATCATGGGGAAAAAAGAAAATAAATTTATCTCTTTGCAGGACATATTGTTTACATGTAAAATCTCTAAGAAATCTACAAAATAACTACTGGAACTAATAAGTGAATTTAGCAAGATCACAGGATACAAAGTTAATATAAAAAAAAACCCTGTATTTTTTATATGCCCAGCAGTATACAACTAGAAAACAAAAGTGAAAACAATTTTATCTACAATAGCCTCAAAAATAAAAAATACATGAAAAAATAATTAACAATCACAGGCAAGACCTTATCACAAAAAACTACAAGATGTTTCTGAAATAAATTAAATAGCTAAATAAAGAAACATACAGCATCCATAGGTTACAATACTTAATATTGTTAAAAAGTTTATTCTCTCCTAATTTTTCTGCAGATTTAACAAACTTCCAATCATAATTCCAGCAGTCTTTATAACAGAAATTGACAATCAAATTTTAAAATTTATATTAAAATTCAAATTTAAATAACCTTGAATGTCAAGGCAATGACTAAAAAAGCATGTCAAGAACTTTCACTACCTGATTTAAAGACTTACTATGACACTACAGTATTTAAGACAGTGTAATATTCACAAAGGGGTGGTCATATAAATCAATAGAATAGGATAGAAAAGCTAAATATAGATCTATACATATACAGTCAACTAATTTATGAAAAGCTGCAAAGGCAATGAAATGAGGAAAGTCCTTCAAGAAATGATACTGAACAACTGGACAACCAGATGGGGGGAAAATGAACCTCACTCCTTACTTATACCACATACAAAAAAATTAATACAAAGTTGACCATAGACCAAAATGTAAAATGCAAAACTATAAACTTTTTAGAAGAAAATGGAATAATCTTTGTGACCTTGCTTGACCTTCTCAGACAAGCTTGTAAAAACGTCTCCTAAACATTATCAAAATCATATTCCTAAGGAGACAAAGAAGAATTTCTTTTAAAGATATTGTTTCGCATCTATTAGACTAGCAGGAATTACAGTTCCTTGTGTGGGCCAGGATATGAGCAGCTAGACAATCCCCTACCTATCCTCAAAACGAAAAAGTGTATATTGTTAAATCCTTTTGCAAGGATAACACAGTAACATAAACAATTTAAATGTTCGTGTTCTTTGGGCACTTCCATTTTTAGAAATTTATTCTGAGGAAACAATTGGCTAAGTGCAAAAAGTACAACCACACAATACATATACTTACACATCAGAATGTTCAGTGAAGCATTGTTTGAAATTAAAATGTTGGCAGTATTCTATATACTCTTTCTGCAAGATATACTATATTTGAAAAATATTTTTAGGACAAAAACATCTACTACAACAACCATTACTAATCTCCTTAGTGTCCCGTGAAAGTGGATTTCATCATCATTAAATAATACCACCAGTCGGAAAAACAGAGCCAGCAAAATGTGTAAACACCAAGTTTGCAAGGAATTTTTACAACAGCCTAGTGTTAACTCCAATTTGGATACGAATTTATTATGCGTTTTCATAAACTGAAATTACACTTGTCTTTCCCAATAATTGCAAGCATTTACTTAATATGTATCAAGGGATTTTTTGATGATGAAGTAATTAGCACTCACAATATCTGCTTCCAAAAAGGCAATTAGGTGCAAGATGCACTGTACTTCATAACTGATTAAAAATATATTTCTTTTGAAAAACCTTTCTTAAGGCATATTGTCAGTTGAGAAATTCATTAACGACTAGATCTTTTCATGAGGGCAGCAAGTATGTTCCCGTGTTTTAACATCAAATTTGAGATCCAATGAAAGAAAATAAAAAAGAAAGCATTACCTTCTCCGGAAACCCCACCTGCTAAGGCCACTTACCTTGATTCTTGCTTTCTCTATAAACTCCAGCGGGGCTTTGCCAAACTCAAATGCAGCTCCAACCCAAGGAATCCAGCCCCTTATGCACGGGGGTCCATTCAAGTTCTTCCACTGGAGGAGTAACAAAAGAGTCACGCAACCCAGGATTATAATCACCGATGGGAATATCAGTTCCATGTTTTTGTCTAGCATCTTCCAGAATCAGAGGCGGAAAAGTCCTGCTGCCATAGCGCTAGTTCCTTCCCTCTGGAACAAGGAGCACCCACCGGACCTCGCAATGTTTTTTGCTGCAACTTTCGCAGCTTTCTCCGCCTTTCTAATTGTAGCCGCCTTTCCCCGCCCCAATTTTTAGATGACTTTTGCATCATCGCTCCCTCCCACTCCTCTTTCAGGTCTTGGCCAACCGGGACACTGTGCAGAGGTTGGACTGAGGTCGGAGGGGGAAGAACACGCACTGTTGCCATGGAGACCGGGGCGGGGCCGTAGCGAGCGCCCTTCTAACGGCCAATCAGACAACGCGGCCCGAGAGGCGCGGAGCCCGGAGGACTACATTTCCCAGAAGCCTCGCGGGCTCCCGTTGTTTTCCAGCTCTCCGTCCGCTGGACCGCTCCAGGCTGGCGCTGCCAGGAAGGCTGCGGGTGGGCCGGCCCGCCTGGCCGAGCCGAGCACGGTTCATGGTCTCCGCCGTGCCCTTCGTCGCTTGAGGCGGGGGCGCCCTG